TGATTGCATAAAAAATATGATAAATAATGTAGTTTTTGTAATTTTGAGGTATCATGACCAATTAATTAGCTGAACGATATTAAATTTATTATAACAATTGCTTATGCAATTTTAAGAATATTTTAATGTCATCTATATTCTATATAAAAAGAATTACCATTTTTTAAAAATGGCAAGTCAAATTATGGTCAAATATAGTTGAGCATTAATTGCATGCTATTAATAGCAAGTTTTTTTATTTTAATTTTTTATTTAGAAATGTGCATCATTAATTATTGCATTTAAATGTGGAGTTTGTTATTTATTTTTGCGCAAAATTATGCAGTTCCTTTTTCATTTTCCACAAATTAAAAAAAAAAAAACTTTCTTTAACATATAATCGTGTACCACATTGCAAATTTTATTTTATTAGAAAAAATAAATTACGCCTAATTTAATAATATAAACTTAAGTTAGTATTATAAAAAATCAGAAACTCTTTTAACATCAACTCTCTACAATTGTTCTAATCGGATGCTTTTATTTTTATTTTTTAAAATAAATTACAATTCATTTATTTGGTGGATTTGGTACATTTGATAAATTACAGTTCATTTAAACTCCTAAAAGATAAATTGGTGGATTTGATTCCATTAAGTTCTATAAATTTCGATCATTGAATATAATTTGAAATTCAAAATCCTTTCTCATATTTGATTTAAAAAAAAAAACAATTGTGTTTTTTATTCCAAACAATCATATTGCCGAAAAAATTACCTTAAAACTTGAATTGAAAATTTGATAATCCCTTCTCATTTTAGTTGTCATAAAATTTAGCTTAATTCAAAATATCTTTCTAATATAAAGGATTTTGTTAAAATTGAATTAAAAAATATCTAATCACATGCTTCTATCCTTGGACGGCTAACCTTAAATGAAGAATTTTGCGCCACTTTAAAATTAGCAAACCTCTTGGAAATTACAAAATTATAATAAATTTCATTCTTTTAGGTTTCAATTTGCACGAAATTCAAAATAGTTTAAGAATTTCAAATCAATCGAAATTCATCTCTTTAATTTTTTTCCATAAGTTTCAAAATTTTACAATAATTAAGTCAAATTACAAATGTATTGTTTCAAAATCCAAGAGGATAATTTTGAAAATAGACATTTTTTTTCAAAATTTTCTTAGTCTCCATTCAATATAAAATGAATCCCATTTTATTTGTATAAGTGATAAATCTGTATAAAGCGTGGAATTTTATGCAAAAATTTTTTTTTTTTACAGTAACTAAAAAATAATAATAATTTTCAAATTTTATGTACACAAATTACTTAAAAGAATAATAACAATAATTTTGAAATCTTTTGTACTCAAATTGCTTAAAAGAATAATAATAATAATAATAATAATAATAATAATAATAATAATAATTTTGAAATCTTCTATACTCAAATTTTCAGGTACGGTAGTATCGTCGTAATTTTCAGCATCATGTCAATATTTAATTTATATATATAAATTTTCTTTCAAAACTTTACAATATATTTATTTAGGCTTATAATATTTTAGATACTTGTATATAATATTTTATCATGTCATATTCAGAAAACATCTTTAATATAAATGTAAATTTTAATATTTTTAGATACATTTTATTTACAAAAATTTTTTTTATAAAAAATTAGGTGACTTCACATATTTTAATACTAATATATAAGAGTTTAAATAATTTTACATATGTTAATATAATATTATAGGAGTTTTAATTGTTTAAACATACAAATTTTATGTTCTCTTGAACAAGCTAATTTTATATCGCTTATGATAAACTGATATACCATAAATTATATGACATATTAACCCCACATTGTTAATTTATATTATCTTTCTTGCTCTTTTAAGAAAAGATCAATAGTGGTTCCCTACTTCTTTCATTGGGCGACTCGAACTCGATACTTATTTATAATTATTATTTAATATTTTTTACCCGTGCATCGCACGGGATACGCACTAGTTAAAATAAATTAATTTATTTAAAAAGCAATCACTTATCAGATAAAATCCTCCCTATATATAACTAGTACGTACCCCGTGCGATGCACGAGATAAAAATATTAAATGAGTTATTTTCACAGCCTTGTCCGTTTAAGTCTAAAAAGTCTAAAAAGTTAGTATCTATTATCTACCTCTTTTAATCAACGTTAAATCTAAAAAAATATTAAGTCGTCATCTGGCAAATATGTATGGAATTATGTGTTCGTGTCTCATAAGTCACAAACATTATGAATAACATTACAGATTATTCATTCAAACTTTTCTTCATTGCAAATATATTAAAGTAGTTTATATAACAACCATTAAATACCACTTTCAATATATTTATAAATAATAAGTACATAAAATTTCTGGTGTGTTCAAATTTAGATAATTTTTTATGGGCTCAATTTTAAATCATCCAGACATTTGGTCAAACGCATAGGTGTGTTCAAATTTAAATCATTGGCATTTTGGTCGGTTGAAATTTAAATCATCTACCATGGTACAGTGATGTGTATTATATATATATATATACAATTTTTTAACAAATAATATGTACTTTATAAAAATAATAATAATAATTTCACAAGATTTTAAACGTAAAATTTATTTTTTAATCACAATAGAAAATCATGGTAAGTTGTATTGAAAAGGTGTTATGAGATAAAACAATTAACTAAAATAATTAAATGAAAATACTTGATGGAAATAGAATGCATTAATTACCTTTGACTTTTCTTACTACTAATTCTGGTAAATAGAATGCCTCTTTATATAAGTATAGATATATTTAATAAAAATATTGGTAAATTTAGTTAAGAAATAGAAAAAATAATCCACAAATTTAAGGAAATATCATTTTTGAAAAGGTTGATCAATCATAGG